ATAATGTCCCTATCTACTGGCGCTGCTAAGCCAAAGTGGTGCAACCCAAACGCGGAATGGTTGTACGGGGAGCAACAAGAAAAATCGATTAGCTCAGCCAAGCAATCAGCTCAGAAATGAGCGGAATGAATCTGTAATAATCAAACAGAATTGGAAGAGCAATTGGCTAAAGCAGAGAAAAAGAATGAATGGAGAGGTATCACGACGTGGCCCCACAACCCATCGAATTCAAATGAATCCCCCAGCCAGTCGTTGAATCCACCAAATGGAAACCATTTCCGCACACTCACACACTCATGAACATCGATGAATATCCTTTGGAGGGGTGCCCGGAATCAAGCCATAAAAGCATTTAGCCGATAATTTGCACTGAATATGATAACCCAAAGCCATTTGTTGGGCCAAAAGAAAATTACATTTTCCGCCATTGGCCGTTATTATTTTTATAGCACTTTTAAGTAACTGAAAATATTGAATTTTATTATTGGATCCCAGGCGCAATGCCATTACAAAAACACCCCGTATGCATAAAGTCCAATTCCAACAGCGACAGCTTGTTTGTTTGCATTATGTGGATGCTATAGGCAACCGCCAAATGCGTTTTGCCACCACAAGAATAATCACAAATGCAGTGAAGGGGATCGGAATCGGGATTGGGATTGAAGCTGGATACTGGATGCATACCAGCCATTTGTTGACGATGCCGTGCGATGGTGCCGTGCCATTTTCCGCAGATGAGCTGCGAATTGAGCAAAAGTGCTGGCCATAAAATCCGGGCTGCGGTGGGGCGTGTTAATTATCTCATGTAAACCTGAACCAAATTGGCAATGGCGCAATGCCAGTGGAGGAAAATCCAGCGGTAGAACAAATGTTTATCAAGATATTAACGAGCAAATTGAACTTTACGCAAAAGGTTAAGCAAACACGAGAACGGAAATGTAAAAAAGAAAAAATCTCTGAAATCTATGAAAGAACGCTTTAAGGAAGCACATAAAACGCAAACTTCTGGTGCGCAAAGGACTCTCGAATTTTATTTGAATTTTATGACTCATTTTTCACGCCTTCCTCGGAGGGCCTGCTGGTGTCAGTTGCGGCTGATAAAAGCCAGGACCGAGACCAGGACAATCAGGACCGAGACCAGGACGAGCAGGACCCAACTTAAATTGCAGGCCGCATAATCCTTTTTGGGCCGTCGTCCCTTTTCGTCGCTGCCAATATAATTTATATATGGGAGAATGCTTTTGAAATGTCCATGGCCTCAACGGAAATGCAAGATAATTGAAATTGATATATGACGAGGCAGCGGCAGCAGAACCGGAGTTTCTGTCCTCAGGTCTCCAGTACCTCTAAAAACAAAACGAGGTCTGCCTTCGCAGATAAACAGAATAGCAGGAGCAGCGGGTGGATGGGACTATATTGCGTATACGGGTTGTCTGAACAGCATTCATAATTTTGCGTACACATGGAAAATGGGTAAACACAACACGAAACGAAAGGAAAACTGAGAAAAACCAAGGCACACACAAACTTTCGTAGCACGTGGACCACTGGCATGTGTGGCCGTCTCCATTTTATTTGTTTTTTAATATTTTTATGTGCCCCCGTATTCGCCAGTATTTTGCTTTTCTTTCGTTTTGTTTTCCGTTCCGATTTTCCTTGGATTGTGTTGGGGAAATTTGGAACATATGCGCTTCACCTTCGCCTTAATTAATATTATTTTGTAAATAATAATTAATTTTACCTCGAGCGTAGCTCTTTTCATTCCGAAAATAAAAATAATATCGCATCGTGGAGAATGGAAGATGAACATGATTTCATATTTTATATTTTCCGAGAGACCATAACGCGCGACGAAGGAAACGATAATTAACGTGATTTTTATATGGCCCGGAAATGGGCCCATTCTGGAATGGAAATCGAATTTAAATTCGCACTACTTTCTGTTATTTTAAGCGGCTCCAATAAGGACGTGTCAGTTGCCTGCCCCTTTACAGATAAATAAATAAATACATTTTTTGGGCAAAGTTTAAACCCTCTGGATTTGATCCGAACCATCAGCGGTATTCCACTTTGCTCAAATAATTGATGAACCAAAGGGCCATAAATTCCCCATACGCAAGTCGGAAGTTGTTAAGCCCAAATAAATCGACTTGAATCGGATGCAATCGTATAAATATTTCATAGGGCAGCGTAGTCTGGTATAGCAGAACTCGCCAAAATCACGGGCAAAAATCCGTGTTAAGTATACGCCGTGTTGCCAGGCGGCAAGCAAACAAACAAAAAACCGAGCGAAATACATACATAAAAGTGCGAAGAAAACAAAATTTCGGGCGCCGGTCGATTGGTGCGTGTGAGGAAATAATTTATACACCTTTTGAAAGATTTATGCAGCATGGCTCTGGGGCTCGGGCAAAAATCGCGAAATCAAAGCGTGAAATTCAATTAATCTAAGCAGTAAAGTCTATGGCGAAATCCCAGAAATCACACAAATCTCCATCCGATATTCCACGGCTTCAGGACACTCTATTCGTTAGCACTCGTTAGTTGGCTCCTGGTGATTCAGAACTCGCATAATTCCAACTGGACACCCTGCCAGATGAATCGGATGAATCAGATGAAGTTTCGGCGCTGACACAGCACAAAAGTACATATATATTTTTTGTTGTCTTTCGGAAACTGCAGTGGGCTGGGCTTGTTGGCTTGTTCATCTTATTTGGGTTAGCCATCGAGTATATATGGCAAATCGCTAACGGTACGGGTATATTCACCGTTTGGGCCAAAAGCGAGGCTCAGCCAAAACAAACAAACAAACAAACAAACGGCGATGCCAAAACAAAACTGAAGCTGCAGCTGAAGCAAATGCACAAACAAAGCGAAAACTGCAAGAGCGTAACAGAGTGCAAAACTTTTTTTAGACTTTTCTCCGATGTTTTGCTTATGGAAAAATGCAAATAATAGTGGAGTTTTTCTTTTCTGGGCGGTGCACGTTGAACGGCGGGAGGAAACTAAGAGCACGTGCATGGGAAGGCAAAGAAAAACCTGGTCTACACAAAAAAAATATTCCATTGTTAATATTCCGCATACTTTTTGGGTTTACACTTGACTTTGAATGGGACCTTTCATACAATACTTTGGAAGGCAAGGGAAATGCAACTAAATTCTTATTTTTAAGGTAAAAACTAACTAGCCTTCCAGTTTCATCAGCTTAAAGCACACAAATTACATTCTAATACGTATCAGCTACTAATTTAATTGAATTATAGCTACCGTTTTATGCAAGTGAGATTTTTTCAGTGCACCACTTCAACAGTTGTCAAAGCATAAATGTTTGCTGTAATTTTGAGCTACCCCCGCAATTCGGAACGGAAAATCGAGTGGATTTAATTGGCACTGCAACTGCAACACAACTCCAAGTGCAATGCCATGCAACACAAGCAAAATTATGCAAAATACCAGGCTCTCTGCAACTTTGATAACGAAACAATGATGCCTGGAATACGTGAGAATGATGCGACTAATGTTGCAGATGATTTGCATACAAAGTTTGGCCAATGGCAGCTGAGCCAAAGTCAATGGCCAAACAAAAGACACTCATGTCATGAACTTGTCATACACCCAGCCCAAACTCCATACTCACATGGCTTCAATTTTCCATTTTCCCTGGGCAATGAAGCTACCTTTCACTGGGGCGCCAAACAGGCTCATCAATCTTGCAGGCAAAATTAATTGAAATTTTGGTCAACCGCATGTAACTGATCGAATCAAAATCAAAAGAACAATAATAGCAATAATAACAATAACAATAATAACAACAACAACAGCAGCAGCAGCTGGGCATGCAAACAATTTCCACACATTGAACAAAAATAATAAACAAAAGAGGCTAGCAAAACATCGAAGGCAGAAAAAACGCACACAAAACTAAACAAATGCTCAGAATGCGATGCCGAATAATTGAACACGATACCCAGACAATCGCACAGCAATGGAAATTTTGTTTACAATTTGAATCCCCCTATGTAGATATATAGATATGTATCAGCATACATAACAAAAACCAAGCCGCCCGGTAATTGTGACAGTTGACTAACTCTTTGCGTTGAAAACTCTTTATTGCCGCTTCCGTCAACCGCAGCAGCATCGAAAAATGCTGAATATAAATGAAACCGACTACCCAAAAGCAAAATATGGCAAACAAATTTAATTGCATTTACAAATTGTAAGGAACAGTTTACTCGCTCAAATGTCACAAACGTAAAATTGGAAATACGAGATGTTTGTTTGAATTTTATCTCCGATTTACACACTACGAATATCACAGAAGAATGTAAGGAATTCTGCGGAAGAATATTCCAGAAAAACCAATAATTATATACCCAGAAGTCGAATAAAAATTAATAGTGTTTAGCCAAAAGTATTTCCACAATCATCTTAACATTATTATTTTATTATTATTTTAAATGATACTTCACTTAAGACAAATTAAATTAAACGTGAATAGCTTTGTAAGCAACGCAATATAAATTAACGACAATGTTTGCTATGCAAAATTAATGAACACTTTTATGATGACAAGCTAGCTGAAATAAAACTTTCAAATAATCTTTAAATTCCTTTCCATTTTATGACGCATGAAAAAACGATTGTTGATACTTAAAGAATAACAAAAATGGAATAAGAAATCCGTAAATGATATCAAAGAAGTCCGTTAAGTGTAAATTGAATAGCTTTAAAAGTTATACTCTTGTGTAGAAAGTATTTCAAAGCTGTTTTAAATTTCCGTACAACAGCCGAAGCGAATTGCAAACTCTATATGCAAAAGAAAATTTATGTGCTTTTCAAGCACAAGAGATGAAACTATCCAAATGATGAATTTATTGAAACATAAAAACACACTTAACAGCGATAGATCTCTTTGTAGGAATGCTGCTAAAGATAGAGGCCCAACCCACTTCTCTGATCTGAAAAAATGAATAAATTCCTTTGATCCCCTGACTCACCTTGGCCTGAAATGTGATGCCGTGGAAGAAGGCCTGCTCGGCGTGGAGTGGCACCCGCAGATCCTGGTCATCCTGGACCAGATCGTACGGCGTCGACGGCATTCTCAGATAGTTCAATAGCACCGATTCGGACCACTTGTAGTATCATGAAATGGTTTTCATCTTCCTCGTGCTACGCTTTTGCAGCTGATGGCGCAATTGCCATAAAACGCCACTTGGCCGACGCTTTGGCTGCTGATTTTGGCTGGTAGGATGCTGCTGTTGATGGCCCTGTATCTGAATCTGTGTCGGCTGATTCAGATTCAGATTCAGATTCGGATTCTGGTTCGGATTCAGACTCGGATTCTGCTGGCTGCTTCCGAGTTGGCTCATGCAAATTGCGGTGGGGCGACGAGCGCTCAGTGATTGATTTGCTATTGCAATGGCTGTGCTGTTGGCCAAAACCCTCCGAGTACCCGAACCTCCTCTTGGCCAAGTTGAGCGCTCTTGCTTAATCTCAATTTATGAGCTTGCGGTTACTGTGATGCTGGCAATTGAATTGCGTCAGTTGGATTCTTTGGTCGTACTGCTGCTTTTACGTTTTATTATGAAATCGCCAGTGTCTGCGTTGTATCTGCAAGTGGAGAGGAAACAAAAAAAGATATCAGTGATGAAAAGGTAGAAAAGTAGAAAGGCATTATTGGAGCCCGACTTGGCGGTACTCTTCTGTAATCAAACGACGCCTAATCGCTGCGACTCGTCCATCCATCGATCTGTCTATTAAAGTGAGTCATTAGCTGAATGATTTGAGTCAGCTTTGGGTTCGCTGGAAAGCAACAGCATGCTAATCACGAGCTTTAATTGACTCGCTCACTAGTCGAGCTCGTGGTGCGATGACACCGTTACCAATCGAATTTTGAATTGGGTTTTCGATTCGCATTGGAACTTGGACGCCAGCCCACCTACATACACGTGTCACATTCGAGCTGTGAATTCGTAATTCGATTTGTTGCTCCGGAAGTGTTGAGCTCGGCCCATGAAATACTATATTGCTTATTTTCACATGGTTATTGTGAGATGCGTCAACGCGTTCATAAAGTTAATTCAAATATACAACTACTGTAATAAGACCCTTTCATCTTATGTGTTTTTCTTAGTCCGATGACTTAACACACGCCTATTTTAGGTGGTGTATATATGTATACAATATATACATTAATATATGAATGAATGTGAAAATATTAATAGTATTTAACTATTAATAATTTTTCACTATATTAGGTGCCTGCTGTAAGCAAACACAGCAAAACTTTAAGCTCAACTACTGGTTATTGGCTACTTTGGTTTCTTTGTTCGTCTCTTTAAGTTGGCCTATGAATTTACAGAGAGTCTGCAGTTTAATAAGTCTGGACTTTAAATTTCTCTTTAAATTACTTTCTATGACTCACAACTTCGCTGCCAATTTGTTGCGCTTTTTGTGATAGTTCTAAATCCAAAATTAAACAAAAGCTGGCGTGCTAATTCCATTTCAATTATTCAGTATTGTCAGGCCTTACATTTTAAATTTGGTTGGTTAAATCAATGTTGAATTTTTAAGTCAAGCTGCTTAATAGGCATGTATACAATTTTATGAAGTCGAGCTAAACTTTAACTCTTTTTTAGTCTTTTTATTTGTCTTCTTTCGATCTAGCAAATGAAAATAAAATTAGTTCCATAAATTGGCATCGCCAGACTACATTAATTTTGCATACATTTAAATTGTTAAATTTATTGCTATATGGAGTTATAAATAAAGCATTAAATATATACAGATCTTTAAATCTGTTAATCATCATTTACTATCTAATTCCAGGGTTTCTTTTTAGTGAGTGCTAAATATTTTCGATTTTCTCATGCCCCGTTTTGGCCGCCTAATAAGTTTATAAGCCCCAGCAAAAGTTTGAACTTAACGTCAACAGCTGGTTAGCATCCCCGTCTCTTTCGCACCGCCTCGCCCTGTCTCTTTCACGCCGCTGTCTCTCGCTCTTTGTGCCGTCTTTGTCTCTTGGAGCCTCCCAGTTGGCGGAGTCAGTTGAAAGCCGGGCCAGAGGGTCACGGACGTTTACGCGTGTAAATGACAAGGCAGCCGAAGCGCAGCTCCAATAACAACAAAGAGCATCGGAAACAACTACAAAAAAATGTTACAACAAAAATGGCAACAAAACAAGGGGCCCAGAGATGACTTTAGTTGTTGCCTCGTTTGTTTATCTGGCTCCTTTTTTTGCAGCCTCGAATTGCTTGGCAATGTCTTCTCTCCAGTGAATAAATATGCTGAGCCAACTTTTTAAAGCCATGCCCCATCTCTTTCACTTTGCACACTGCCTCTTTGTCTCGCATTAAGTTATCAATTTGGGTGTCGATTGAGTTCAAATTGCCAGCAGCTGATACCGCCCCTCCCCCCTCCTACCATTCGGATATCGGATTGGATTCGAATCGAAGCGAATGGAATGGAGGCCATTGGGTTGAGGCTGGCCGCCAGTTGACACTTTTTGGGGAGCGACATAAATCAGCTTTGTTTTGAGGTCAGCCTGCATTCAGGCGGGGATTAGGAAGGTGCAGAACTTGACCCGTGGAGTTTAACCTAATGGGGCTTCTGTTTGGAAATTGTTTGAGCTTGGAGTGCTGTACGTTTGAAAGGTTGATAAATCAGGGAATTTCTTTGTTATTTTCAGCAGTTTTTTCACAAAGTACTTCTACTGATTTGTTATTATAAATTGTTCAAAATATATCTACTAACTTTGTAAACTGTTTAAATGCTTAAAAACACTTATCACAAGTTTATTCAAGTATTTGAACATTTTTCAATTTCCCTTGAAGCTCTTTACCTCCCATTATGTTTCTGCTTTCAAGCCCTTTGCTTGCTCCATATATGTACTTCCTTGCTCTCCGACCAAAGTTCAATGTTCGTTCGCCCACAGGAACACATATCATCGCGTTAGGAGCTAGATATATGTACCTAGCTACCTTAGCTCCTCCGCCATTTTGTGGCCACACACACAGATACACACTCCTACTTATATGGACAATAAGGTTCAAGTACCTCGGAAAAGCGGGCTGCACATGCGTCGTACTAGACAAAAAGCCAGCCAGCGAAATGCAAGAGTCGGCACTCAAGTTGCCCAGCACTTAGCACCCACCTCCACCACTGTCACGCCCCTTCCGCCCCTTCCCACCGGTGGTGCAACCACCAAAGTCGAAGCTCCATGCTACGCACGTCGCTCTTCGGATTCTTCTACCTTCTATCTTCTGGCGAACGAGCAGCTATCGGTTTCGCATTGTTCGGCGACTCGTGCTTCTTTGCACTACACTTAAGAAAACGTTCTTGAAAAAGCTCAGATTAAACTTAATACTGCTCACAAAAGTCATTATTCTTTTCATAAACTTTCATTATTAAAAAATAACCTATTTGTTTATGCTTAAACCAAGATCATTGAAATTTCTCAAACTCTCTCAGCTTTTGTTGCCAAGTGCAGCTTCTGCAGATTCTCCGATTTGTTCTTGCGCCCGCGCAGCCAACAACAAATGCAGCTGCAACACTTACTGCCACTGCAACTGCAACGCGGCTGCGCAGCCAGCTGAAAACAAAACGGAAAAAACTCGAATCGGTTGCAAGTGAATGACTTGGCGAGCCCTGAAAGGCGTGCTTCTTGGAAAAGAAGCAATCGAGACGAGAGCCGAGAACTGAGAACCGGTTTCGAGTGGCAGCCGTATTTCGATTCGGAGTCAAAGTCTTGGTAACTTACACGCTCACTTCCTTTCCGGTTCTTGCAATATACGAGTTATAAATATATATGTACAGATATCTGAGCAGATATTGGCCAAAAGCGAGTGCAAGCGGGATGGCCAGCAAACAAAGCCCAACTGCAGTCAGCTGCAATTTGTGGCCGTTTTTCAAGTTTTGCACTCGAACTTGCAATTACGTAGCAGCGAATGAAGCGAATCGCTTGCCAGCTTTTGTCATGCCCCAAAACGAATCGAAAAACTAAAGGCAAAAGAAAATGAAAAAAGATATTTACTGCGCAGTCGCAGCCTCCGCGGTTGCAGTTGCACTTGCCGCAAGCAGTTGTTGCCGAGCGGATTATGCAAGAAAAAACGAAACTGGTCGCGGACTGATTGGTATTTTGAGTATTTCTTTTCGGGAAAACTTGAAAGAAAAGATTGCCAAGTTCCCGTGCGGGTTGCCTGTTTGTTATTTTCTTTAATAAACAGATGAACAGTGGCAATTAAGCAGATACCGATGGCCAACAAATGCCAGCTGCGTTGTCTCCCATTTGGCCAAGAAAGTCCGGCTGCAAAGGCATCAATCTTGTTTTCGATTTCACAGAAACTAACTGCCTGCCACAGTCGGGAACAAAAAGGCAACTTGCTTCGCCTTAGAAACTCGGGAGATGGCCAGAAGATCCCGATCTGCCGACTGGATTGTGTTCTGTGCGTCTCGCCATTGTCGTTTTGGCCACATACATACATGTGCATATCGTATATTTATGAGGCAGACATCCCAGACATATGGGGAAGAAGCAGAGGAGTCGGCTGGGCGATGCAAAACTTTTTGCCTGTGTATCTATAAGATACATTTTGTTCAAAGAGCGAATGGACGTGTGTGTGTGTGTATGCGTGTGTGTATGTTTGTTGAGCGCCTATAAATAGCAGCAGGCGGCCACTCAGGCAACCCCACCCCCGACCGCAACGCACCTCAACAAAATTTTTTGGTCTAAACCAAAAAAAATTAAAACATAAATTTGTTGGGCAAAACAGCGATTGCCAAATCAACTGGGAATGGCGGGGCTAGAATTGAATTTGTACTTTTTTCGGGAAATTCATTCACTTTGGAAATCATTAGCTAAGCGTTTTAAGCCCCAAGATACACATAAAATATAGCTCTAAAGATTCCGACTAGCCTTGAAACCGAACTTTGCCATAGTAAGTATATCTTAAACTAAAAGATATTAATGATCAAACAAAGAGGGTAGAGTAGAGAATTGAAATGTTGGTGGGTCAGTTATCAGCAATTTTGTCATTGCCCTGAAATTTATCGTTTATTATGCGTCTGCCTCGCCGGTTTCCGTGTCAGTCTGCATTCGTGTGTATCTTTCAGATGCATTTCACCAGAATCAGAATGCTGCGTTGTAAGCGGCAATCAAACAGTTCTCGTACCGAAAAAAAATATATATAATTTATATGCATATGCTGTTATTGTTGGGCAATAAATTATAAAAATAATAAACACGCTGGTGGCCGTATTCCGCGTCTCATTTTGGCACACATTCAACTAATATCTCGCCAGATCTGCACTGCAGCCCAAAATGTATCTAGAACGCAAAGCGTCGCGTAATCAGTTTTTTAGCTGCGATCTGCGAAAAATACTCATCTTCACTAGTTTTTTCACAGTCTAAGCGAAAAACTTTCCATTTCTTTGGCGGCGTGGGTGGTTCGAATAGTTCTCGAATGTCATCGGAAAGTGGGGACTCACCGCTATAACTTTTCTTTCTTGCGCATTTGGGTATATAGTTACACAGTCACCACTCGCACACACAAACACAAACACACAGTGAACACCTACGGGCATTTAACAGGTCTCGGCTCGTCTTCGGTTCTTTTATATTTTTTCTTAATTCCGCTTGCTGGGGAGGTGATTTCGAAAATTAACTGCCAATTCTCGGAAGACGAGGCTTTTCTACCTATCCAAAGCTCTCAGCTGAATGTTAATAAACATAGCGTTGTTTGAGTTTGGTTTTGTCTTTCTACTTTTTTTAGTAAGGGAGTTGGCGCCGACTTGTTGCTATGTTTGTTTGTGGAAGATTTTATTCTACCACGGGTATGAATATTAAATAACTTTTTTGCCAGTCTGCTTTACACTGTTTGTACCTTTTTCTTTTTTTGTGCAAATCACCGTTTATTTGCTTTGCTTACTTTCGAAACGGAAATGGTTAGATTATGATCGGGTAGAACTTCACTTTCGTCACGAACATAAAAAATGCCAGTGCAGAATTGAATTGGGAATGCCGTAAAACCCGTTTTCGAGAATGCAGCGCACAATAAATATGGATATAAGAATACCAATAGCTAGTACCTTATGTATTTTGGATGGCGGTGTGGGCTATGTATGTTGTTGAATTTTAAACATTAACGGAGATTGACTCGAATTACGTGCGTGTGCAACGACGAAACCGATATGCGACCGTTACTTAGATATTTCGAAAATAGAACCGGTAAGCAGAACTTTTCTCGCTTTTCGAAGCGACGTCAGACGAACGATGACGTTGCGTATACGTATACGCTGGTGTCTGGCCACAAAGAACGCCGAACAACAACTGCGGCTGTTCGGCCGCTTCGCTTAGCAGAAAAGCACTCTGCCGCTTACAGGGTGCTTTTCCGGAAAACCAGTTTTCGGCGCGCTCTTAGCCAGCTCTCTTCGTTTCACTGTGGCCGCACTCGGCAACGCTCGCTCTCTGCGGTGACGAAAAGCGAAAGCCGTTGGCCAATCAAATCGACTCAAATACACGTGCTCGCTGAGGATTTTCCATGGAGTGGGCCAAAGGGGAGGGTGGGGTGTGCGGGGGCTTCAGCATGGCCCAGCGTTTTGGCCAAGTTCTCTGTTTTGGTTTTTGTGCGGCCAGAGTCTGTGGCTCTCTTCCAGTCGCCTTCAGATGCGAAGACAGCCACAGGGTAAACATGGTCAAACATTGTCAAACATGGCCCAGCACACAAGGGCTTTTATTGAGGAGTCTGGCTGGGCAAACAATGCAAGGCGATCTAAAACTGAAGCACCGACTTTAAAGAACTTAAATTCTGCTTGTGCTAATTGCATTACTGAAACAAGACATTGAGCAAGGCACTCAGAAATGGTATATCATTTATATTCCTTTTCAAATAAATAGTTTTTTTAAATAATAATTTTAAACAAATATATTACATACAACTTCCTTCCTTCAACGTTAAGTTATTCATACTAAGACTCTTTTTATCGTGCCTTATGCTTTTAAAATATTATTTTTATGGAAACATGAATATTGAAAACTAAAAAAGTCCTACACAAACCCAACGAATTGCCATTCATAGCACAGAAGCTTATCAGCAATGTCCTCTACATTTTCCGGAATCGAGGCTGACAACTAAATTGTGGGCATACCGAAAGTAACCTAATATATCGGTGGTTTTTGGAGACAGCCACAACCTGAGCTTGTTGACAACTCAGTTCGCATATCTGCGAGTATTCACGCATAATTCGCCCTTTTCCAGCGGATCCTGTGCGTGCGGTTGTGTGTGTGGGTGCAGAAATTGTATTCATGGTAAAATATGCAAAAGCATGAAGCCGCAATCATATGGAGGGCCAAAGCTGTGGAGACCGCAAAAAGGATGACAAACAAGCGCAAACTCGAAAAGGATGCGTCCTGGTTGTCAGGCAAACGACACGGAACGCAGACAGATGAAGGAAGGATACGGATGCCAGCAGACTGCTCGCAGTTAGCCGCATTAGATGCCAGGATGTGCCAGGATACGGAATGCGGTCAAGGATTCGAGCGCGACTTGGCCGAGATGCAGCGAGAATGCATTCGAACTGGGCAAATATTTGCAGTATTTTAATTACTTTTTTGTCCAGAGTTCCTGCAACAGCGGCACAGGAATAGAGATTGGAAATTAAAACAGGCAAGGAACAAGTTCAAATGGCTGTCGCCGTATTCAGATTGCACTCCACCTCCCGCACGGCCACTTTTTTAATTAAAAAAGCGCACAACTGAAAATGGCGCCCGCAAAACGGCGAACAATTTCACACAGCTTAGCGTGGCCAACTTTTGCGGGCTGGCAAAAAAACTTTAAAATGCTACCGCATCACAGATCCTTTAAAGCCATTTCCCAAAAGCCGTTCAATCATGGCAAGTTTTCCCCTTGGCCTGTGTCAATTTTCACTTAACACATTGTCGAAATATCTTAAGCAACCCTACTTAGGCAATCCCATCAACAAGGATACGGCTTCGGGTTTCAAGTGGTTAGGAATACAAAAAATAAAAAACAGCTTTTTCAATTTCCCGCCCACCTTGGTTCAACTTTTTAGGGATGAGCCCTTGAGTGAGCTGGTTTAAAGCCAAATCAATTAATAACTTTTGCCAACACACATCCACACGCATCTTTTCCCATTCGAGCAGCGCCTAAAAGCACGCTCATTATTTTCTGCATAAATTATATTACGATATGGAGGCGAAACCCATTTGACATAAAAATTTACTGCACATGTTGTGCGATGAACAAGATGAGCAGACGAGGCGAACTTGATAAGCTTCAGGAAGAAACCAATAAATTTATTGTCGCACGGAGTCTGAGTTTGGCAGCTGTTTTTTTTTGGGGGGCTCTCGTCCTTGTCCTTTGTGTTAACGCTTCGTTAAGTCTGCGTTAATTTATGTGGGCGTGGCTGCCTGTAGGCCAGAAGCCAAATGACTTTGATAAACCAAATTGTCTAGCGCTATCCTGGCTAGAAGTTGTTGGCCGTAAAATCCATCTTAGCTGGGCAAATCAATCAGCAGGGCAAATAAATACAATTAATGTTACATTACGCATACGCCGTGTTGCACGGCTAGAGAGAAAAGCTGGCGTCCTTTGGAAAGGAGGACGTATGACAAAATTTATGCCAAGCAACAATTCATCGCAATTTTATGCATGTCAACGACGACTACTTTGAGGAGCAGGAAATGAAAAGCCCGTCTCGACTTTATGCAAAAGCACGAAATAAGAGCAGACGACTGAAATATGAATAAAAAAGGAAAATCAAATATGCACTCGCGTGAAAATTAATGCGACACGCTCCTCAAGCAGCTCGCACTTGACTCATTCAGCGTTTTTCCCACTCCACACTGGCATTTTCCCACATTTAACTTGCTTAATTGAAGGAAAAGTGTAAGTAGAATGAAGCAGCCAGGAAGCGGAAGTGGTAAGAACTTGTTGAAAACTTAATGAGCAGTTTGAAGTTATGGCTTGTGGCTGGGCTAAAGTTAAAACAATACATAATTCAAGCAAAGCAATTAGTTTGCCTTACAAGTCCCAAGAGGTATCAATCTACAGAATGCAATAAATATTGTTTGCAAACCGCAACCGGCTTGTATCAAATATCAAAATCAATTGCAAGCAAGCTTAATGGAGTCAAAAGGATGAAGGACTAAGGATGATACACACATAAATGCCAATTTTCCCAAAAAACAGGGAAAACAATTTGCCGAGGCAATTAGAAGTGTTCAAATATCCCAGTCAAGACACAAATCATTGTGAAATATTCAACCGGAGATGGAAATAACTGACGCCCACTCACCCAAATTTCCACTACCCCGATTTTCCTTAACTTATAATTGAGCCCGTAAGCAGGCGCATTCAAGCCGTAAAACTTAATGCTAATGACGCCCATTTTTCAATGCCCTACAATCCGTAGTCCATTAGCGAGCCCCCAAATCATTTGTAACCTCCGCTAATTAGCGTTTATTTGAGAGATAATGTCCGACCTGCCCGACTTTCCAACCATTCAGCCAGGATATGTGGCCGATACTGGTACCAGTTTTGCTGCTCTTCAACGAGACCAGCTGGCTGAACCCAATCCTGTCCAGCATCTACCAGGACAGGCACCACGAGTCGGTTCTTCTGCTGCAACATAGCCAGCATGGCAATGCGTCTGACGTGGACAGATTTCCCTGGCCGGTTTTCAGTTTCAACGAACAGATGGACTTCTATGTGAGGGGCAGCTACAACAGCGAAATGCTCGTCCTTATCTGGCAAACCGGAAATTCGGACTGGGACTTGGATTTGTGGCAGGCTCTCGACCGGAGTCTCCTAAATATGAGAAGAGTGCGGGTGTTGCTACTGAGGAAATGGGAGAAAGTCCCAACGGCTGACGTTGCCAAAGACGCTCAGCACCTGCGTTTCCTCCACGTCGCCGTAATTGGACAGGGAAATAGGATATATCGACTCCAGCCCTACGCTCCGCAACAGTGGCTGGAAGTAAACCCCACCGAATCACCCATCTTTATCAAGGTTCGAAACTATTTCGGCATTAATATAGTGACTCTGCCGGATCAGTTTCCACCCCGTTCGATTGTATTTCGCAATGCGAAAACAGGCGAACTGCAAATGACGGGCTACGTGTATAAATTTTTACTGGAATTCATCCGTAGGTACAACTTTACTTTTCGCTGGCAAAGACCCATTATTCCAGGTGAGCGAATGAATCTGATTCTACTGCGGAATATGACCCTCAACGGCACCATTAACATGGCTATCAGCCTCTGTGGCTTTGAGACTCCCAGTGAGTTGGGTGTTTTCTCGCATATATACGACATGGAAAATTGGTACATAATGGTTCCACGGGCACAGGAAATTTCCACCGCCGATGTGTATGTGGTAATGGTTCGCGGAAATTTCCTAATCGTTCTGATTATCTTCTACAGCATTTTCACCATTTTGGATACTTGTTTTGGTCCTCTGCTGCTCAAGGAGCGCGTTGATTGGTCGAATCTGATGCTAAATGAACGTATGATATCGGGAATTATGGGACAGTCGTTCAATATGAGGGCGAGGAATACCATCAGCTCGAAGATCACCAATGCCACTCTGTTTCTACTTGGATTGGTTCTAAGTACCCTCTACGCTGCCCATCTGAAAACGCTACTCACCAAGCGACCTACATCGCAACAGATCTCCAACTTTAGGCAGCTCCGGGATTCCCCGGTGACTGTATTTTTTGAAGAAGCCGAACGATTTTACCTAAATAATGTGTTCGACCGACCCATTCACTACATCAAGGATCAGTTGCATTTCAGGGAAACCGTCGAATATAATGCACTAAGGAACGGTTTGAACAGGTCGAATGCTTTCTCCACTTTGTCATCCGAGTGGATGATAATGGCCAAGAGACAGGAGCTCTTCAAGCAACCGCTTTTCACGGTTCAGCCGGGCTTGCGGATCATCGAGACCAGTGTCCTTCTATCACTGGTCATGCAGTCCAACTCCATATATGAAGATCATATCAACGATCTGATCCATCGCGTTCAGAGTGCCGGAATCGTGGAATATTGGAAGCAGCAAACCCTGCGCGAGATGATCACCATTGGCATGATCTCCCAAAAGGATCCACTTCCATATGTCGCTTTCCGGGAATTCAAAGTTGGAGATCTGCTTTGGATTTGGATCTTGTGGGCCAGCTTTTTGCTCCTCTCCTTCGTCATATTCCTGTGTGAACTGTTGGCTAATTGCTTGATTAGCAACCCGTAATTAGGAACAAAACACCCCACCGCACTGAATCCCTCATTAAAGATTACAATTTACGGTATCCAAGCGTTTGATTAATTATTGGTATCTGACCTGAAATTAGCCACCTGGTTGAACTTTCATTTGTGGAACTAATTGCTTCATTATTCGATTTATGCGTTTATGAATAATCATTTATGTTTATTTTATATATAATGTAAAAATTGTATTGCGAAAATAATAAAATCCTTCTTGAATTACTCATGATAACTTGCAGATACTTTTATTTGTTTTGCAGATATTGTGACTAGATTTCTGAAGCATGTTTAAGCATTGGTTGGGGATGGGAACAAAAAGGAACTACAACGTTTTGTGATAGTTAAACACCCCCCTTTGAGCCACAGAAACCCTACACCCATGGCCCGCATACTTCCCGACTAACTAATGGTCTGCAGCACTTTCGCCACGTTGACATAAATCAAACATTTCGTCGGGATTACTTTCAAAAAATGTCACTCCCATGGCTGCCGTTGTCGTTGACGAGATTTAAGCGATGGCTTGGTCTTTGTTTTCGACGTCGGGCCTCCGTCATTCAATCATCCGGGCTTGGGTTACGGGAAGTACGCCCCCATAATTGACGTTTACGCCGGGCTTATCTTTAAGGGAATACAAACCCGGCCAAACGGGGCAGAGAAGCTGGATTTCAGTTTATTGGCGGAGAAACGGCCGCATTACGGCTGCCAACATGCTGTTTATGGTAAAATCAATAGTGCAAGGCTTCAAGCCTTCGCCATCGTTGGGGAAATTTACAAAATAATGTTACCACTTTCAAACAGGCGGACAATCGAATTACTGATGCACTATAAGCGGCGTACAATTTTTAATCAAGCCGGACAAGTTTGGAAATTTTCGTGTAATGCAATATGCAAATTAGCGGCTAGCGGGCTTCGGACCACGCCCACAGCCCTCGGGGGCGGTCACTACCCTAATTGAACCGCATTGCGAGGCTAATTGCAACAACGTCAACAGCGACAACAGTCGAATTTCGAAACACACGGATTTTGTTGCCCCTCACAACGCAACTCGCTTCCTTTGATTTTCGGTGAAAATCGCGGGACACCAGCATTTTGAACATTGCATTTCAAAGTGCGCACTGTCGAAAATCTGAAAAATGGAAAATACAATTCAGACAGCGGTATACAGACTCATTTGTGGGGCTTAAATGTGAATTTTTAAAGGCTTTTTGAACTTATTTGGTTTGACAAAGGCAGTACGGTGGTAATTGGCTTAAAAGTACTTTTATTTACTTACTTTTGAGCTAAAACATGTCATTCAATTCAATCAACTTACTATACAAAAGCAGAATGAAAATCCAAAAATCAAATTAAAACTTTAATTTAACGAAATTGTTTCGTTATCCCACTATAATAGCAGTGGGTTACCCTTCAGTCCACTTAACCAAAACATTACATTTCAATTAATTATGTACGGCGGAAAAAACAATTGTTAATTGTAATTACTTAAGCCACAAAGTGGCCCAAGCGTTAAATTCAAACTGTTTTTGTCCGGAAACGTCCAGTGCAACGCATTAATGTGTTGACCAAATCGATGTGGAACAGACCACATGCCGCATTAATTGAATCCACCCGGGAAATATTTCAAATAATTTAAATGGCTTCATTTAAGTGAAATGCAAGTGTTTATCACGAGCAATTTAATGTTGTGTAAAAAACTGTACCGAAATATTCCAACATTTTTTAGTTCGTTTCTAAAGTTTCCTTTTGCATTCTGTATCGCACTCAACATTTTTGCTTTTCGCATGCGAAATGTTGTCCTAAAGTTTTCCTACATTGTTGCATTCAAGAGCAACATCTGAATAAATGTTGAATGCCTTCTGCATGGCCAAAGTTGAATGGCTAAACTTTTCCTGAACAGCAGGTGGGCGTGGCAGTCGCCCGCCTTTGGTGGCCGTTGATTTGGCATTCGTTTGCATTTGTTTATGCAAATCGTGTCAGCATCAAAAGGAAAAACTGTCAGGCGTCACAAAAATTTGAATTCCAAACATAAATTAATGCCGAATACTTTGTGTTTCCATTTAACTTTCGAGGGCTAATTAGTCGTGAATTCTAACGCACACTGTCATTTGCATAAATTTACAAAATATTTTGGAGGCCCGGAGGTCCTGCGGTCAGTGGGGAAAATTTGCGCATTACTCATTTGCATTTGTTCTAATTATGAGCCGAAGCAATTAGCAGCTAAAAACTTTTCCGAGGCAGCTGAGCAAAAACAATAAACTGAAAATCAAAACAAGCTTAGTGCCAACACCTTGTTTTTGGGAAGGCGTGGCGTGGATTTGCTCCCAGAAAGTGTCAAAAACTCAATCACAAAACTTTCATCTAAGCCGGTTGGAAAAGTTGTTGCTTTTAGTGGGTGGTTCCGGTGGGGTATTTTCCCATTATCCATCCCACCTGGGCTGGCATTATTAACAAGTTTTCTATATGCAAATCAGCTACAGCACAACTTTCTATGAAAGCAAAACAAAGCAAAGGAGTAGACAATGTTTATCCACCCAAGGCCATTGAGTTTTTCCCACCCGCCCAAAGTTCACTTTCCACTGGTTGCCAGTTTTCCATCAAAATGCGAAACTAAGTGAAATTGATGAATGCTCTCTGGTGACAATGGAGTGGCTCAGTTGTCAGTCGGTCTAATAAATGGCATTGCCAGAACTGAGTTGAAGACATTCATCTAGCAAGTTCAATAAATTTAAAGCCGTAAAGAAGATATATATTTCTTCATAAGTTCCTGCTACTGTAATCCCCGAGCCGAGCTCATCTTTGTGACCTCTAAAGCTGCCCATTGATTTGTCAATGCCTGGTCTTAAGTCCTGTTCCTGGTTCATCCTCCTTGTCCATAAATCAATCCATGGAGAATTTTGAAAGCATTAAAGGAATTACAAAGAACGCCATTTCGTGGTTGTTGTATTTCTAGCGTGCCGCTGCCGCTGTCGCTGTCATGTCTTTGTCATGTTGAACAAAAGCCGCCATGGCGGCAGCATTACGTATACGCCCTGTGGCCAAAAGCGAAGTGGAGATATAGGGACTCACACATGCAAAGCGACATTTCCAGGCAACCGAATGAATGCGAGAATGAATGACTGAACGAGTGAATGGTGGGAAGGGGAAGGGGGAAGGGCGAAGGGCAAAGTATGTGGGAAACCTTGGGCCATCTTTTGTCTGCCCACTTTTCCGCTTTTCCTCAGGCGGCTGTGCTCTTTTCGCCAGGCACTTGATTGTTTTCCATGTATCTCCTTGCTGCCAGCCATGTACACTGAGAAGAGTATCTAGCAACAAGCTGGAAAAATTCATATAACCAATTTAGTTTTTTTTTTCAAAAACAAAAACATTGGTTCTACTTGACTATGCATTTATTTATGCATTCTACATTTGAGTAATATGTGCTGGCATAATTAATTTATACTTAGTAATACATATCAGCATTTATTGATACATAGTTCTTATAGCACAAAAGAACTTATACGTCATGCCAAGAAACTGAAATGCGTCAGAAATATATTAGATACTCTCTATAATCTGGTGTACTTACAATGGTCACAGTCGACATGGACAAATCCAAGACAATTGTGGCTTTTAGGCAAACTGGCTTCTGGGCTCGCATGGATATGTAGATTAACATTTTCTTGAATCGTTTGTCGGCACCTTGCCAGTCCATATCGTAGGCCGCAATGCCCACGTTTTCGCTCTACAAAATTATGGGTTAGTATTATAGAATAGATGGAATAGATCGCAACAAACAGCATCCATTAGCTTCTGGCTGAAGGAGCAGAGGAGATAGACCTCGAACAAAACGGAAACCAGTAGTAGCACCTGCTTGCCAAAATACTGCAGACTGAATTTGATGGTTAATTGAAATCCCACCAGGCAGACGAGCAGCGAAGAGGCAACAAAGTTGAGCAGCAAGGAAACTCCAAACACGTCGTTCGTAAAGTCGGTGAGTCTGAAAGTTGAATACATTATTTATGGATTAAGCCAGTATTTCTATGAAGCAACCGAAGTATATCAATGTGATTGGCGATTAGGGACTGCAACTTCTTGAGATCCTCATCAACTGCATTGGGATTGTTAAGAGCTTGAATCTTTAACTCCCTAAGCACCTTGGCCAGTCTATCGTAGTGCATGATGACCTGCAGGACCACAGCGAAGATCATGAGGTCACCGGCGATGGATCCACATGTAGCCGTATATCCGGCGTGCGACTGGTGGAAGTAGGTTGGATAAAACCACCAATTGTCACGCCATTCCCAAGGTTCCCATTGGTAAAATGGCATATTCTGCTTGGCATCCGGATACTTAAGCAGCAGTTTTTCACTGAAGTATACGAATATTGGTATTAGGGTGTGGGCGAAATACATGACCGTGTAGAGGACACCAAACCCCTTGGTGTACATATGGGTGCGTTTCAGACAGGACTTCACATCATATTCCTCCTGATCCATTGCACTTGACGGAAAGCAGGACTTCAATTGCTTAACCAAACTGGTCAGCTTTGGCTTTCGATACATTACAGCACATATCTTTGAAAGACCAATGATCACAAAGGTCCAGTAGCTCAATACCATGCAGCTCTCCAGCAAATTTTCACTATCGCGTAACGTGTTCGCCAGGTACGCTGCCTCAGCAAAAAAACTGTAGACCATGTTAATTAGGTTCGCCGCAAAATATAGTTGAAACCAAATACTCCATTTTCTGCCAGTTTCATAGGGATCAATGCCCATAGTATTGTAGAAATTCACGGCTAGCTTCAAAAAATCATCGACATCGTAGATCTTTTCTTTAGGCTCTTCAGCGACGTTAGCTTTTTTTTTGAATAGAATCATGTTTTAGAAACTTGCACTTATTTTCAATTCGGCTCGACTACACACTGATGGCCATGGCGAAAAATTTTGGATTTTTATAGCCCCATTGCAATGCCGAAACCGCAAGATTTTCTTGACCTTTAATGGTTTACACCGAACCAAATCAATTTGGAAATGAAATGCATGTTCGGTATACATCCTTTTTTTTATTTAAAGTTAATGAATAATATCAGACAGTTCAAAAATTATTCATTACAAATATTAATTGTATGTTAATAAAAATAATCAATATTTTGTAAGTATTTCCCTTTAATATTAAAGGCCTTTACACGTGCCTACTTTTGTGGCAAAACAAAGGCAGCAGTTGTTGGTAGCCCAAATACATCAATTACCTCAATTGCTGGGTATTTTCTTTTCCCACAACTTAAATATACCTGCCAACCGTATATTGCTATATTAAAAATTAAATGGGCTATACAAATGGCAACGTCAAAAGCGGTTTCAGGGCTACTCACAATCGAAGAAGCGCAATAATTAATCCTCTTATAGAGATTTATTGATATTTGGCAACGGAAAGGAGCTCGTGTGCGACATCCTTTGCCCATTTATATGCATTCGGTAGATTTTTGCTTAAGAGCGTAACATTGTCGTTTGAATGGAGCATCCGTAAGGTCAGAAAATGTCGTTGGCTAAGATTGGATTGCACGCATGTGGCACACAACATGTACCACAGGAGGCATCAAGAACGAAATCGAATCCGAAGCTGAATCCAAACCGAAACAAGCTTCATTTCGGTTTCATTGGCGGGCAAAACAAGTTTGACAGCTCTAAGGCAACTGGGCAACTGATAGATACAGATGAAGTAAGTTGGGGTTCTTGACTCTGCATACCGCAGAAGTTCATTGCCATCATCCTATAAAGAAAAGAGGAGGGAAACCCGATATAAATGGATGTATATAAATGGAAGATGTGAGATTGTGCAGCGTTGAAAGTGAAGACGCAAATTGCTATCGCTATCAGCGGTCTTGAACTTGCGGAACAAGTTTCGCTTCTATTCACTCGGATAAAAGTAAAACCTAAAGATACAACTACATAGATGCTGTCGCCATGCCGCAGAACTTTTCACATGCATAAATCGTATGCAGTCGTGCGAATTAAATAAAATGCCAGCTGCCATTATCCCCATATCGAACCCACATAAATTGATGGTTGCCGCTGCTGCATCGTCGCAAATAAAACATTCATTGGATTGACATTTTAAAATGCTTTCCATGCACACGGGCTGCCATAGAAACGCAGTGCTTGGGAAATGAAAATGGTACTGAAAATGGAAATGGAAAATGATCGAAAATATGACAATGGAAAATGTATCTTTGCCATTTCAAATGGCATTTGGTGACCGCTACCGCGTCCGAATGGCTAGAATAAAATTTATTTAAAACCTTTGTTATACGTTTCCTGGGATTATCAAATGTTAATTAGCCAAATGATGATTTCAATTCATTCGCGGAAGTGGCGAGCGATGCTGAATTTCATGTGGATTAATGGCATTTATATATGTTTTTCAGTGTCCAGGAAATTACAATTATTAAATCCCTTTTTCTCCCTTATGGATTTATGATGTATTATGTTGAGAAATTCAAAAAAATGTCCCCATGCTGAAGCTCAAAACTCCATAACTCAACGTATCTTAATCGGATTTTGAAGTATAATATCTCTAAATATTTCTGGCGCAATTTACTAAAGATCTGCATTCAAATTTAGAAATATATTTTTTTTGTAATTTTGTTGTCATTTTTTGATGTTATGATGTTGTAGAAATTCAAAAACATTAAAAAATGGACCAAATCTGAAACTCTAAACTCCATAACCCAACGTATGTATGTTTCGTCAATTTATTTAATTAGTTGTTATAAGCAAATTGAATATTTTTTTTGTTTTCATTTCAATACTAACATATTTAGTAATATGACTGAATCACTTGTTTTTTATTTCAATGGTGTTGACTATACTTTAGTATTTAGATATTAAAAGACAATAATTGTAATACACTTTTCTCATTGGTAGGAATTGAAAATGGTAATAAGAAAGGTCGCAAACAAAATTATGGAAAAATTTGTTGTTCCCTTTTGAAAAAAATTTGTTACACTTTAAGAATAGAATCAGGATGCTACTTTTGATTAGATGGGCACCCCTTTCCCAATTTCGCACCACATTAAGCGCTTCATTACGCTCACATTCATCGTCCGACGTGACATTTCAATTGGCCCCAGTTGGGGGCGAAAAGGTGTCTATAAATCCCCAGTGCTTAGACCCAGTCAGATATCGCAGCATCCGCACCTTAAACGGTTAACTCCCCGAAACTACAATGCGCATTCATATGCGCACTCACATTCGCACTCACATTCGCACTCACATTCGCACTCACATTCGCATTCACATTCAGTGGAAAAGTCGTAATGCATTGCACGTACGGAAACCTCGCCGTAAAATGACGGCGAACTAGCAGCGCTAAAAAGTGTAAGAAAATCAAGCAGCCAACTGGCGGGAAATTCGGTGGCACGATGGCGGGCAGGGGATCCGGCATCTGGGATCCCGTTTCCCTTCCCATCCTGGGTGACCTGGCACATTTTGCTACTTAAAGCCACAAAAGCCACACGCACACACTGCGAAGATGAGGCGACGTCTTTAGCACCGCCATTGTTGTTAATTTTGCAGGGCTGCCAGGCAACGCTGCGCCGGAAACGGAAACTAGAAGCACTTGCCTCGTCCTAGCTAATGTATCCGTGTGTGGGAGCTTGTGTGTGTGTGTGTGGGAGAGTGTGTGCGCGGATGTGGACACGTTGGTGTGTGAGCATTTACAGTTGAGTTATGGGCGCACATAAATAAAATGTCAGCGACAAAATGGCTGCCAAAGTTTTCTGCGGAAATTACCTGAACTACGTCGTTGACACAAAATTGAGCCAGCAGCACTTTGACATTTTGTTTGACTTTTTGTCCTGCGTATCTGCGTATCACGTAATTTCGCGCACTTTCAATTGAATTAAATGCGGCCTGAGCCACGGAGCACTGGGTTTTAAGTTTGATGAACCGCTAAGCCCCCTGGAATTTTACAATACCCATTTTATCCGACAATGAGCAGACAACAACATGGTGTAAGTCCATTAGCCCTGTCAAAATCAGGTTAAAAAAGGCTCAAACAAAGGTCGCAACCGCAGGCAAAAGGAAAAAAAGGGTTCACTCTCATTCGGAACTTATCTATAAAATATTTACATTTTATTGCCAGTTTTTGAGTGTCTCTCTGGCTATATTTAAATTTTACATTAATCCCTTACTGGGGGGCGGAATATTTAACCTACCCCAATTTGTATCACTTTCAGACCCTTTTTTTCATGAAGATGTAAATTGATTTTTGGCTTTTGTGTGTGGTAAATTTGCTTTTGATTTGAATGAAAATGCAAATGTCTAGACAAAGTCGCTGGTCTTGAACAAACATTTGTACTAAAAGGGTATTTTAAAGCAGCTTTGGGCACTCAACCGAAATGCTAGCCTTCTGGAAAAATGTAATGCAATTGTATGGCCATTGTTTCACGCTGCACTGACCAGGCCAACGAAGAAAAAAAGGCAAGAGGTATGAGTAAACCGTGCAACATTCTTTGATACTTATTTGCTTTCTTTTTGCCCGCTTTGACATTTTCAATTTACGTTTACAATAATTCAGCAAAACGTTCAAATGGCGTGCAATAAATTCGCAACATCACGAAATGCGGAGGGAATTGCAAGAAGGATTTCCACCCCCACATACAATATTTATACATAAAATGTAAACTTTTGCAGTTTTACTTTGTTTTATTTGCACTTTATTGCACACAATGGCAATTTATGTTGCGCCATTCTCAGCTGGGGCGTATAAAGTGTATATAAAATGTGGGTTGGCAACTTCGGGGGTCATATGCTGGTCAGTGTAAAACAAATGCTGACAAGTGCAATTATCCCGGTCGGAGCTCGGTGTTCCGGACAAGTTCTGCCCTCATAATGAATGTAATGCCAGCAAATGGCTGTGTAAGTGCGGTATTTTCCACTCCGGGATCGCAGTGTTTCAGCTTGCCAACTGGTCGGTGGTTTTCGGTGGGATTACTCGTAGGTGGTAAGGGTTTTCGATTCCAGTTAAGAGCAGTGTCGAAAACTGGTTGAAAATGTATGCCATATAACAAGGAAAACATCCTCTGTAAAGATATATTTTGCATATATGCTGGAGTAATATTTGCCCTATAATATGTTCATAGTTTTCTTTCAAAACTGAATTATTTTACGAATACTGAAAGCATGCTTTAGTGCCATTATGCTACCTCGCCACCTGTCACTCGGGTGCACCTAGTCCTAGCAACAGCCACTAGTTGACAGGCAATACTTAGATGCTAGCATCCATAAAAGTTGGCTTCCGTTTTAACGCCTGTCCTAAATGAATTTATGTCACCGGCACTTCATTTAAATGGCCAAACAAAAAGAAAACATGGCAAAAGTAGAATAAACCCCAGTCCAATATTCCGAGCGTTGCAAGCCGCAGCCCGGCAAGTTTGCGTCTTGTGTCTGACATTAAATTAATTTGTTGCCTACAACTTTGCCAGCAGCAAATAGTGCCCATGGGTGGTGGCCTTGCTCCATCTCGGCGGAGCCATAGCTATATGGCTCCGGATCGGACTTCAGTTTCCGTGGCTCCCGGAAAACTTGTTAAAGGCGAAAGTAACAAGAAAAGTTTTAAATCATTCGCCAGTGCAAATGTCGCAAAAGTTCGGCCCGAAAAGAGAGCAGTCGCAAGAACAAAAACCAAAATAAAAATGGGGAATGGGGAATGGGGTACGGGGAATGGTGAATGGGTTTATGGGTTAGTCTGGGGCGTGTGTGTTATGGGTGTTGTAACTGCTAGCCTAGGCATTACCCATTACATTCTGGAAGGCGTGTCAAGGTTGTGTGGGCTCTTATACATCCATATATACTCGTAAATATATGTATACGAATGTATTTTTGTATATTGTACCAGGGCAGCTGGCAG